GGGAAAAAAAAAAAAAAAAAAAAAAAAAAGAACTAAATCAACAACAAACAGATCCAACCTTACATAAACTCAATCAAACCAGTGTTGGATTTACGAGAAAGAGAAGTTTGGATTGAAAAGGTTGTAATGATTCTCGCAAAAGGTAAAGTAGAAAGGAAGATGAAATCGACCGAGAAAAAGGCAAAAGGAACCGAAATCTTTTTGATAATTTCTTCTTTTCGAGCCTATAATTTCATACTCACTCCCAGTTGCAGAGTGAAGACGAGTTGGATCGGATCAGCCACTATAATAATTTATGAACAAAAAAAAAAAAATAATAATAATAGAAAGATGAGTATTGTGTAAGGCCCACTCCCAAGGAGTGTATTAGAAAGAAAGTCTTGTCTGTACAGCGCAATGGTCTTTTCATTTACTATCTAATCACTGACTCCCCGGAGGGGGTGGGGGACGCCCCTTACGCTGTCGTTTTATACATCCCTTTTCCTCTTCTCTCTCTACCGGGCCTGGCCCATATTCAGTTGGGCCAATCTATTCGCCGTTTGGGCTGGGCTTTTAGAACCCCAATTCTTCCTTTTCTCTCTCGAATTAAATAAAAAAAAAATTTACTGAGGGGTAAAATTTAAATATTGTGAAAAAAAAAAGTAATTAAATTGATGGCTGCTTCCACTTGTAATAATAATAATGATAATGATAATATATTGTGTGTGGTATTTATTAAGCTTCATCCATTACCAACTTTTAGTTGGGAGTGAAATATATATATATAAAAACTTAGGAAAACAACAATTAAAGTAGACGTTTTTCTTTTTCTTCTTGCTTTTAATACATTTAAACAATACATGTCTACCTAACATATAATATAAATATGAATATTATGATGGGTTGAGTGATGCCGACTAATTTAAAATATTTAGTATGAAAAAAAAATAGGCGTTTATGAAATGAATCTGATAAAATAATACATGTCTACTAGAGGCTTCGTTCGATGTTCAACAAGGTTTACCTTCATCAACCGAACACAATTCGTGTAGAATCCAAGGTTGTTTGGCCACACATGTTGTTCATGCGTGCATGTTCAATCGTGTGTGACACAACAATGTTGCATCTCATTGTCATCTTGGTTCCCAACAACATGGTTCATGCATCGTGATGTCATCCCATGTCTCGGGACACATCGAGCATCTTGGCTTACTCGGATATATCTGTTGGGAACTAACCCACATGTCGATCATTTCATTGAGACATCTTGAACATCCATTCATCTAGGTTCTCTTGAGCATCAGACTCTTCTCATGTCCATGCTAAACCATTTATGGCAAACCTTTCGAATAGCAAGTGCATAATCCAATCTCTGATACATGGGTTGGTGTGCAATACCAGCACACACATGTCTTCCAATACTGTCTTTGAAATATCCTTTTCAAAGAAAGACACCCGAGACACTCAGGCCTCACATACTATTTTATAAGATTTTTTATTAGTATTAAAAAATAAATGAGGTAAAGGATTTGTACTACTAACCTAATGCTCAATTATTTTGTTTTTTTTATATATATAATAAAAGGACAATATTATTAAATAAATAAATAAAAAAGGAAAAAGCTTGGCTGCTTCATGACTATACAAAATATAAAAATATATTTAAGAAATTAATTGAATAATTGAATATTGAAGTTGAAAGGACGTAGTATTATACAAAGATTAAATAAAAATAGAATAATATAAAAATTCGAAAATATATTTATGGTCAATATTATATTTAAAAATATCTATAAAAATACTCCTTGAGGGGAACAATGGGTGATTCATTTCCTCTCACATGAACAAAAATCAAAGCAATCGACAATACAAAAAGAATCCAAACCCCACAAACACCAAAATTTTGTTCCCAAGAATCGATAATAATCGAATATATTGAATGATGAAATGTTGTGTAAATAATAATAATGAAACAAGCTCGATCCATGGTATCCATCTCGAACCCATCTCCCAAATCTGTACAATCTACGCTCCTAATCAATCAAAGAATCGCTGAATCTGTACCAAAGAATTGATCTCCTCCCCTGTTTAATAACTTAAATAACTAATCAATGTCGACGAATAAGACGATGGTGCCGGTGAACCCCAATCTGCAGCTCTGTACAGATCATACGGCTTCCATAGATGATCAAGAAGGCAAGGTTTATTAGCGTCCAGTCTAACCCATGGCTTCCCCTTCCCGCTCCAATGGAGTAAACTCACCGGACCTGGATGCAGCGTTCTGCAACTATCTTTAACATTGTCGCCGCCGAGACCGTGTTGGTTCCACCGGTGGTCGATCGGTTCAACATTCCCGGCGAATACGAGGAGGAACGGTGGGAGGGAGCCCAGATCGTAAATCCGGGTGCGTTTCTGCAACTCCATCCAGCTTTCGATCTTCTTCTTGTAATTTCCGAGTCTCCATTTAGACAAATCCATGACCATTACTCCGGTGTTGAAATAGCAGGGGGTTCGGGAGGCGAAGATCCGGGTTAGAACCGGGTCGGACCAGAATTTTTCGGTGAAGTAATTGGTGAAATTGGCATGGCAATATTCCGGTGCTCCGATGACGCGAGAGCCGGTTAGGTTAATGTTCCAGAGCTTGTGAATGTCGTCGACGACTACCACATCGGAGTCAAGGTAAATGAGACGGTCAACGCAGGAATCGAGAATGTCGCCCAGGTAATTTCTAGCGTAGTTCAAAGGATTTTCTAGGGCTAGACGAATTGAAGAGGAAATTAAATTGATTACAGTGTCCTCTCTGAAGATGTAGACCTTGAAATTAAGAGAGGGGAAAGTGGATCGGACGAGTTTCGTGAGTTGTCGAGGAGAGGCCTGGTCGAACTCGGCGGCAATGAAATGGAAGAAGACGTTTTCAGGGCAGGAAGCATGTTTGAGTACAGAGTGAATGGCGGCCATGGAGCCTCGTACGTATTCAGAATCTAAGGTCATTGCGATGTGGACCAAAGAGGCGTCGCAGGCCCCGGCGGAGGAAGAAGAACATTCCGCCCCATTCCGGTAGTCAGGGGCTTCGGAGAAGCGGGTGAAATCAGCGATTCCGGCCGATTGATGACGGAAAGTTCGAATCGCGAAACAGAAAGGAAGAAGGAGCAGAAGAGAAAAGGCAAAGACGGCTGGTGTGAAAGGGAACCGCAAAATCTGAGCTCCCATTTCGTTGCAGAGAATGGTGAATGAACAGTGAAGAGGAGGAGAGGGTCTCACTTGACCGAACGCGGTTCCTGCGTTCTTCTCTCTCTAGGAGAGAGGGAGAGAGAGAGACGGCGGCCGGAAGGGGAAGGGGAAGGCGGAGAGGGAAGCGGAAGGGGACGTTTGAGCGAGAAAGAAATGGGAAAGAGCATTATATACTTGGAATTTGTTGGCCGTCTGAGTCGCAGTCTGCCTCAGCAAGTAAGGAATACTTTGTTTTTTTGTTTTTTTTTAAAATAATAATAATAATAAATTATTATTATTTTACTTTCTTATATCTTATAATATAATCCCAACTTGTTTAAAAAATAATAATAAGTGACAAATTTAGTTCGAAATTTGTATAAAATCCCATGTGCCTTTTTTTTACAATTACAATTTTTAATGTTCCTAATTTGATTTAAAGGTAATTTGGGAAATCTTTATTTATTTGTTGTTTTGGTCGGTGGGCAGATTTTGTTGGCAGTTCTTTAAATCTAAATTTGATTATTCCCTAAATTTTAAAAAAATTTAATGTTAGTTAGAACACTTGTTATATATTCTTTATTTAGGTATTTTTTTTTGTATATATGTATATATATATAGTAAATAATGAGTAGAGTTATGAATATCTTAAATGAAGATTGGGGGTTTAAAATTAATAATTTACTTTATAAGTTATATATTAAAAAATATTTTATTTATTTATTTATTTATGTTGATTAAATTTTTAATGTAAAATGTTTGTAGGGATAATTCTATTATTGTTTTCAGAATAAAATTAAAAATGATGGAGGCATGTGGACTGTGGAGCGAGTATTTGAAGGGGAAATAAATCAGGGAAGAGGGGTCAGTTTGAAGGCAGGAAGATAAAATAGTAATAATAATAATAATGCTGTTAATTAGGACAGTTATTAAGTATGATTAAGTATGGTATTATATTACAATACTTTGAGAGTAATTATAATAATGACACTTCAATTTGGAAGTAATTATACTAGTATGATTAAGTATGGTATTATATTACAATACTTTGAGAGTAATTATAATAATGACACTTCAATTTGGAAGTAATTATACTAGTATGATTAAGTATGGTATTATATTACAATACTTTGAGAGTAATTATAATAATGACACTTCAATTTGGAAGTAATTATACTAGTATGATTAAGTATGGTATTATATTACAATACTTTGAGAGTAATTATAATAATGACACTTCAATTTGGAAGTAATTATACTAGTATGATTAAGTATGGTATTATATTACAATACTTTGAGAGTAATTATAATAATGACACTTCAATTTGGAAGTAATTATACTAGTATGATTAAGTATGGTATTATATTACAATACTTTGAGAGTAATTATAATAATGACACTTCAATTTGGAAGTAATTATACTAGTATGATTAAGTATGGTATTATATTACAATACTTTGAGAGTAATTATAATAATGACACTTCAATTTGGAAGTAATTATACTAGTATGATTAAGTATGGTATTATATTACAATACTTTGAGAGTAATTATAATAATGACACTTCAATTTGGAAGTAATTATACTAGTATGATTAAGTATGGTATTATATTACAATACTTTGAGAGTAATTATAATAATGACACTTCAATTTGGAAGTAATTATACTAGTATGATTAAGTATGGTATTATATTACAATACTTTGAGAGTAATTATAATAATGACACTTCAATTTGGAAGTAATTATACTAGTATGATTAAGTATGGTATTATATTACAATACTTTGAGAGTAATTATAATAATGACACTTCAATTTGGAAGTAATTATACTAGTATGATTAAGTATGGTATTATATTACAATACTTTGAGAGTAATTATAATAATGACACTTCAATTTGGAAGTAATTATACTAGTATGATTAAGTATGGTATTATATTACAATACTTTGAGAGTAATTATAATAATGACACTTCAATTTGGAAGTAATTATACTAGTATGATTAAGTATGGTATTATATTACAATACTTTGAGAGTAATTATAATAATGACACTTCAATTTGGAAGTAATTATACTAGTATGATTAAGTATGGTATTATATTACAATACTTTGAGAGTAATTATAATAATGACACTTCAATTTGGAAGTAATTATACTAGTATGATTAAGTATGGTATTATATTACAATACTTTGAGAGTAATTATAATAATGACACTTCAATTTGGAAGTAATTATACTAGTATGATTAAGTATGGTATTATATTACAATACTTTGAGAGTAATTATAATAATGACACTTCAACAAGATGGAATGCCAAAATTATGTATTAAACCCAAAATCATTAAATTTAAAATAAAATAAATAAATAAATGAAAGTCCATTTCTTCTCATTGTTTCCCTTATATTATATTTTTTTAAAATGGTGGAGAATTCAGAGTGGGTGACAGCTGTCAGTTTATTTTGAAGGCACTGCAACGTGGACAGTTCCTTTGGGTGGGCCTCACATTTAATCAGCATCGGCTAGAGAGGTCTCCAGAATAAAATAGACCAATTCAAACCCCAATTATTTCCAAAATAAAATTAAAAAAATCTCTAATTTTATTTTGTGAACGAATTTTGAAAAAGAAGTATCCAAGAAGGAACGTGGATGACGCAATAATTAATAAATGAGAAGGATTGAAAATGAAGAAAATGGAACACATAACATGTAACTACAAATAAAAAAAATAAAAAATAAAAATTAATAATTACACTTAATTAAACACATAAACAACTGGCGCACCCATCAAGGAACTTGCACCCACGTGTCCCGCTTATGACTTATAACCCAATGTATTATTACAATTAAAAAAGGTATCAACAAATTAAATATGTGATTTAGATAATAATTCACGCATGGAGTCAATGTTAATGGTAAGATGTAGAATAAGAGAGATATGGACATATAAAGCGAAAAGGTAAGGGAAAGTTGCATAGGATACCAAAAGTGAATGGGGCAATGGGGGAAGGCATGTTGAAAGATGAAGTCGGGGGATATTGGTCATTATGCGCTCCAACAGTTGAGGGGTCATAAGTGAATGGGGGGTTGTTTAAAGTCATGGAGATGGGCTGGTGAACCCACCGCCCCGCTCAACCATTCTCCACTCAGCCTGGAGTTGTGGCCTAATTGTGAATGCAGCAGAGCTCTATTTGAATTACAACCCTTTTTCTTAATTGGAAAGGAACACTACTACAATGGCTACAATAAATGAAAGAACAAAAAAGAATAGCTGAAACTTTGGAGATGTTTCCTAGGAAAAATAGAGTGAGAGAGAGATCGTATGATAGCCAAGTAGAGAATATCTTTACATCATAAAAATTTACCCTATATTTACACAAACGTAAACGTGGCTCAGTCAGCCACCAACTCAGTAAATGCAGTAAAGATCGAGCAGAGCAGAGCAGCAGCTATATATATCTCCTCCCAATGCCTTATTTTCATGGTGAGGCTGAGATATATAAATAAGAATACAGTAAAAGGTAAATGCAAAATACCCGCTTCACTATGCTCCCCAAACTTTGCATTTTCAGCTTCTTTCCAGTGCCTCCGTTAAAAGTTACTACTGTACAAACACAAAAACACATAATAAACATAACTTATCTCATTATACAATAGTTACAACACTGGGAATTGCTAACGGCTTTGGCTTGCTTACCATATTTACTTCAAACTCAACTTCATGGTTTGGTTTGGTTTGGTGTATCATGAGTTCTCAAGTAGCTTGTGGAACTTCTGCACCCTCCTACTACTTGAATCCCCACTGGAAGACTTCGACTGGTCGTCGCATGAGCTATTTCCATGCAGACGTTTCCTTTTGCTATTTCTACGAAATAAAAAGTCCTCTGTATCTAAAACGTATGAAACCTATAACACAATGAAACCAAACTGATCAAGCCAAAATGCAAATGTATGGTCCATGGATAAGGAAACTTCAAAACAACCATTACCTTCGATGAATTGCAAGCAATTTTACACTCCAGACCATTTACAATTTTAAGCTCTTCCAAAGCATGGCATGCGGCAGAATTCTCATCGCCACAGGCATATTTACGTTTGTTTCTGTAAGAACCATGGGATTTGATGACAAGGCGAACTAACTAGGCAAAATTGAATTGCTATGCTTCAACAATCTTAATTAATACCTCTTCAAGAAGATCCCTGACTTCACCTTTTTCTCAGGGAGAACTGAGAAGAAATCATTATGCAGATAAGAGGAAAAAATGGGGTCCATCGTAACGGCAGTTACTTCAGGCTTATCGTAGCCATAGTCCATAAGCTGAATAGAAAGATGAGTTGGTGTGGATGACTGCATAATAGATTTAACAATCAGTTTAAACAATTTAATACCAAGTTCAAGTTTGGCTATTCATAATAATGCAAATAATAAGGCAAATTCACTAAAAAGCATACTCGTTCTATGCGATAGATATTCTCATCATGAAGAAGTACGCGAGCATTTTCATGATAAACTGCATCAATAAATCCTCCCGTTTTTCTTGATTTTTCATACGCATATAGTTGGAGAAGTTTGTTATCCATTTCATCTGAGGCAACTGCTTGAAGCTGATATATTGCATGCATGGATTGATCAGTATGTCGAACAAGAAAGCGTAAAGGTAAATCGAAAAAATATAACATAAGCTAGAGAGAAGAAAGCTATAAGTATGCCACCTGCTTGACAAGTTTATAAATTAGTTTGTCTAATGTGAATAGAACATATGACTGGGTTCCGATAGTGGCTCGGCAATCATCCTCAAACTTTGTGTTATCAGAGGAACCGTCCAGTAGACTATAAAGTGCATTCATGAACCTAGCCCATAAAAAAAGGTATCTTAATTAATATTGCATTGACCATTATATAGCTACTGGGAAGAAGGCCAAGGGCATGGAAAGTACAAGACCTGGCATATAGATCCGTGGGAGTTGTATCACTTGAGGCCCTCCATTTCCTCTCTGAGGATGAAGAGTTGATCTTTGCAGATTGTATTCTCTCATACAGTGTCTGAGAATGTGAAATAAATAAAATATTAATTTCATTAAAAAAAATCATGAAAATAGGGGAAAAGATTCGTTCATGGAACTATCTTTATAAGTTTAATGAACCTTACCTGGTGGAGC